AGAAAAATAAAAATTCTATTTTTTTTCTTAATGCTCCAGAAGTGCTCTTACCGCAGCTTTGCCAAATTATCCCCATGTGTAGAGTTGGCCTGTTGTCTCACCCTGCTCCTGCACCATCTAAATGTATAGGCACCTGTGGCTGGTGAGGTGCTGTTTGTTCCTCGGCTGTTCTGTTCTTGGTGTGGAAAAAAGCGATCATGTATGGTTGATGGCAAATATTTGAGAATAAAAACATCTCAAGTGTTCCAGCTGAGAAGTAAACTTGGCACCACAGAATTACTTATTTACAAACACTTTTAAAGTACTTACTCTGTGCTCGAGGTTATTCTGGTTCCCTTGAGTTAGGTACAAGTATTATCCCCATTTTACAGACGAAGTAACAGAGGTACAGAAATCACTCAATAGAGAAGTAGCAGAGCCAAGCTTCAAACCCAGGAGTCTGCTTAGAGTTAGTATCAGTTGGGGTTCTCCAGAGAAACAGAACCAATCAGGATTGGCTTATGTGATTATGGGGGCTGGCAAGTTTGATATGTATAGGGCAGGCAGGCAGGAAGTGATACTGAGGTCTTAAGACAGAATTTCTTCTTCCCCAGGGAAACCTTAGTTTTTCTCTTAAGCCTTTCAACCGGTTGGATGAGGCCTATCCACATTATCAAGGAAGTCTACTGATCATAGATGTTAACCACATTTACAAAATACATTCACAACAACACTTACAGATGAGTGTTTGAATAACTGGGTACTATAGCTTAGTTTTGATGCACAAAAACTAAACATCATGGGGCCCATACTTTTACATGTTGGGTCTCAGATTTACAATAAGCTAAAGATAATTTAGTAATGGGCTACCCCATTACAAAATAGTGCTCCTTACCTAATTGAAAATAGAATTTGAATCTCTTTTTCAATTAAGTAGCTTCTAGCACAAAATATTGCTTCAAGTAAGTGTTCAATAGATAATATTGAAAGAACGAGCAACTGAATTATTTAGGTGATATTTTATAAGACTTTCCAGGCATTGAGACCTCTGGCTCCCCTTTTAAATTTAAAATCATTTTGCTCAAGTGACATACAGGTTTTATGAATGAAAAATGGAGAATATCTGCATAAAAATTCTCTTTTTGATACTATTCCTCAGTGATCCTATTTGATAGGAAATAATGCAGATATATATTTTTGAATTTGTCTAAATTAGACAGACTTAGTTCATAATAATTAGCTCTTATTTGTAACCTTGAAAAATATAACTCCTTTTTCAAAGGAAAAAGAAGATTTGCAAGCTAATCATATTCTCAGAGTTCTGTGATCCAGAAAGGGTTAAGAACTGCAGTGCCACAAGTCTCTCCATCACAGACTGTTTGCTCTGGCTTCTCCAGAAAAAACACAAAGCATCTCCAAAAGAATCTTTCCTCTAAATCTCAGGAAGGCCAATGGCATTTTTCTCTACTTTTATTTGCAGTGTTATTCTGCCCTCCTTCTAGCCCCTCACACACATAACCAGTTATTCTTCACCTGCCAAACTAGCAAGCGGCTTTACACCTGTATCCGCATGGTTTTCATTACCGGATAGAGAAAAACATTGATGATAATGTAATTTTCTGCCCATTACTTGTCTCTAATAACATGCTTGTCATCATAATTAGTTTTACCATCTTTGGCTTGCTTTTCTGTCATTTCTTTCCCTTGAGTTCTGTTAATACCAGAAATTGACTGCTACACTCTTATTCTGGTCTGTGTAATGGGGCTGACAGCAGAAGTATTCTGCCTTTTTGACAAGTGGATATGATTGGTAAAGGTGTGAAGAGGAACTGCTAATACTTCTCAGCTCTATTATATTAACCTGGAAGGCATTCTACCCATGAAATCAATCCAATATTAAACTGCCTGTTTTATGAGTTTTTCTTTAATAAATTTTCTAATCTTTACAATGTTTTCATAGTTTCAGTATTTTCTGATCTCTATTTCCTGAGATTAATATGGCAACTTCATTATATGAAAACTGTTTTATTAGATTTTCTTTATTTTTCAGAAAAGAGAAAGAGAAGGAAAGACATATTTGTGAGTTTCTTGCCTTTATCCTGGGTTCCTCTCCCAGTTTCTGGCTGATGCTAGGATGATTAAGCAAGGTTTTGCAGAAACATAATCCAAAGACAGCGCTACTGATATGCCATCAAAAAGTCACAAAGTCCGAAAAAAAAGTCACAAAGTCCAAATAAAAATAAATAAATAAACCCTCTACATGTTGAGGAATTCAGACATGATCCTGGAGGGCAATAAGCAAAGAAGTCACAAGGTCCAATGTACACTCTAGAAATATTGCTTGGGTAGCCATAAGATGGATGGTGCTGCATTTGTGGAAGGAGGAGACACTCAATTCAGGAGGCCACTGCAGTGATTGGGGCATAAAAGCCTAGGACAGGGCAGTAGCAGGAGGGATGGAAATGAGAGGAAGATTCAATCACTATTCAGAAGGTAATGCAGCAGGAGTTGGTAACTAATCGGATGTGAAGGGCAAGAAATAACAACAACTACCACTTAATGAGCACTTCACAGGTTTCAGATCATAGGTAGGGCTTTCCTTCATAATCACATGTATCCTTGAAATACCTTGAGGAGTATTATTATCATGTTTTATAGATGAGGAAACCAAGGCATTGTGGGATTAAGTAAATTGTCCAAGGTCATATGCCAATTAAGTGGTAGACCCAGACCAGTCTGACTCCAAGTCCAAACAACTAGCCACTGTGTGACAGGAAGACTCAAGGATATCTCTAGGATTCTCTAGGGGAGGCTGGGAGTCTGACAGTCTCACTAAGTGAGGAGCAGAATATAGGAAGAGGTGTTCAGTTCAGTAAAACTCCACAGTCAAGAGCAATGGCTAAAGTCAGGCAGGGCAAGCAAGTTACACATTTTGCTAAAAGACTGCCTCAATAATTAAACGTTGTGCAATGAAGTGGTAGAAATTATGAAACAGAAAAGGCTCAGGATGAAGCATGAGACTGCATTAATGTTGAATGTATGTTTTTGACCTTTGTTTTTTGAAGATGACTGTAATTATCTGTTTAATGACACAGAAATAGTCTCAGCAATTATTAACTAAGTGCCATCCCCACAGAATCTAGCAGGTTCTATAAAAGGAGGCATTTCTTTGGCCTACACAGTTTCTACCCCTTAAACAGCTTGCTGCTGTTGAATTTACCCATCCCTGTCCTACCTTGAACCTTGTAACACCAAAAAGACTTAAATAAGAAAATGGTATAACCAAGACTTGAAAAGTTTTTAATGTATTACCTAGTATCAGTGGTTGGCAAAATGCGGCTCGCAAGCCACATGCGGCTCTTTGGCCCCTTGAGTGTGGCTCTTCCACAAAATACCACATGTAGGCGTGCACATACAGTGTGATTGAAACTTCGTGGCCCATGCACAGAAGTCAGTATTTTGTGGAAGAGCCACACTCAAGGGGCCAAAGAGCCGCATGTGGCTCACGAGCCAGTTTACTGACCACTGGCCTAGTTTAAGGCTTCATGAAAATGTTGGGTAGCAACACAATATAGTGAAAAATAAACTAGACTTAGAATAAAAAGATTGAATGCCCTGGCTGGGTAGGTCAGTTGGTTAGAACGTCAGCCTAATGTACCAAGGCTGCAGATTCAATCCCCAGTCAGGGCACATACAAGAATCAACCAATAAATGAATAAATAAGTGGAACAACAAATCGATGTCTGTCTTCCTTCCTTCCTTCCTTCCTTCCTTCCTTCCTTCCTTCCTTCCTTCCTTCTTTCCTTCCTCTCTCTCTCTCTCTCTCTCTCTCTCTCAATAAACTAAAAAAATATTTTTTTCTACAATAAATAGATTGAGTATGAATTCTGCCTTGGAAAACTGTAGTTTTATGACACTGGGCAAATCACCCATGGATTTCTCTCAGCCTCATTTTCGTCATCTGAAAATTGAGGCTCATGATAGCTTACAGAGGATTTCTGTAAGTATTCAATTAAATAATAGATGTCAGGGTATTTAGTACAGGGGTTGGAACACTGCAGAAACTCAATATATTCCAACAGCTTCCCTCTACTCCTTATGGGAAAGAGGCATGGTGCATGTTGTGTGTATGATAAATATTTAATAAATATGTATTTGTTATCATTTAAAATACACCTATGCTGTGCAGAAGCTGGTTTTGAATCAGAGTTTATACCACTGACGCATGTTAAACATTTTTACAGATGACAACCTTTTGAAAATACTATTAAGCTTATATGATCAAAAATTCTACCCAAATAAGTAAACAGCAGTAAAAAAAATCTTATTAATGACAGTCAGAGCAGCTTAGCTTGACAAATCAGACATAAGCTTCACCATCACACCCTCTTGCTGAACAGTGTGAGGGGAAAAAAAAACACTCCTCTGCCTCTTGGGAAATTTAATTGTCCTGATCTTGGCAGGAAACATAACTATTATATTTATTTACAAAACAGCATTCTCAAGGGAAGAGTTTATATAAAGATTATGGGGGGGAAAATTGCAGCATATGGCTGGATTCTCACTTCTTGCATTGGTCTTGCCAGAGTCCTCCCCAGGGCTGGCCTCTCTCCAGGCAGTCCCAGCAGGGCTGGTTCCATCTCAGGAGCCCTTTCAGACCCACTGCATGACTTCCCATGTATGGGAAGTTTCCCTGCTTCCTGCTCATGTTTGAATCTCCATCTGCCAGAGTAAGGGAGCCGGCCTCACATCTGGTTTGGTCCCTTATCCCAGACTTGGATAATAATAATCAACGTGTGTGTCTCCCTCGTTCTGTCTCCATCTTCCCATTCCGCGTTTTCCCTTTTCTCCCTCTTAATTTCCATCTCCCACCCAGTTCCATGTTTTTTAATTTCTCTGTGTTTCTCCCTCTCTCTACACATACACATCTCAATAACCTATGTACTGGAAACTAAAACAGCAAGTGCCATTCAAGAGACCCTACGAATTTAGATTCCCCTCCACTTCTGACTTTTACTCACCCAGAGCCATCTCTGAACCAAGAGGGTCTTCAACCACATTCCCAGGCGGGATGGGTAAAACATCATCATCAAAGCTGATGAGGTCGATGTCCCCCAGAGGCTTGCTTTGCAGACCTGGGGCTGCGGGGTTGGCTGAGGCTCCTTCACCCAATGACCTGAATGCTTTGGCTTGTGATGCCACTGGGGGTCGGGGAGGAACAGTGACTGGTTTCAGCAAAGTGGCAGGGCAGCCGGGGTTTTCTGAGGAAACTGATTTCTTCGGCAGCAAAGGTCGAGGAGCAGGAGTTGGGACTCTCTTCCTGCCATCAGGGCTCTCAACCACAGGCCCTCCTCCCAGAGTCTCATGATTAACACTTCGCGTAAGGCCAGGGGTTGGTTTCTTTGGCAATTCAGGTTTGGTTATTGGGATGCTCCCTACTTCTTGCGGTGGAGAGTGTGGGGTGGGCCCTTGCCCTGAGGCCACCTTGCGTCTGTTTTCATTCCAGGAGTCCAGTTCTCCAGAAGCTCTGTTAGCAGCTGGTTTGGGAGCCACAGAGGGTTTCCCTGAGGGAACAGCAGGCCTGGGGGGGAGTGAGCGGGGAGCAATCTCTGGTTTCTTGGGCAGCTCAGAAGTTTCAGTATTTGTCTGACTATCCAATGCTTTTATCCTTGAAACAATACTATTTTGGCTTCGTTCTGTGTTCATAATGTTCATCCCTGCCTGACGGTCCAAGTCGTTGGTATTGTCCAACAGAGACTGAGGTCGGCTTGGGGCTGACTCCTCTTCGGTGGCCGCTGAGCTGATTTTCTGGAGATTCTGCCCTTTAATGTGAGAATCTCTGGCTACTGGTCTGAGGTTGCTTTTTGATCTTGGTTTTGGCACTGGACATCTTGTAGCATTGGAGTTTTCTGGACAAGTGTGTTCCTCAGAAATGTCAAAGACTATTAAAGGTGCCACATTTGTGGGAAGATCACTGGCTGAAACCCCTGGGGCAGGCTGAAGAGGTTTGAGAGGTGCCTGCAGTGCTGATAAGATCAAAATGAACAAAAATAAGTTGCAACATTATAATTTAAAAGAAAAACATAATAGAAGATAAACAGATTTTTAAAGATATACATGTAGAATAGCAAGAGAATTTGGTTCTCTCAATTAGTAAAAAGTAATTCCCAAATCAATGTGGAAATGTCTATACTCAACTTTCTGCACAGTGTTCAAATTATATTTATTCATATAAGAAACATTCATTTTGTAGTAATTTAAAACACCGTTAAATTTCTGATTCTCAGTAGACTTATCACACAAATCATTTCTCTCTCGCTGTCAAAATTCTAATGATTCTTGCTTTACTTTTCCAAAGTAACTTATTTCCATCTGTTATCCTAATACAATGCATTTAAAAAGCCTAACAGGGCTAACACCTTTAGCATCCTATCAAGTTTATGTTGCTAAATATAACATCCTTCTCGGTGGGAATAAAGGGCATCAGCAGTAATACCAACCGTGAGTTAAAGGATGTTTTGTGTTATGAATTAGGGTGAGCCCAAGGAAATGGGGCTTTGGGTCCTGAGAATGAACTATTATAAACATAGCAAATCCAAATAAAGAAAGCACACATGATCACACTGACTGGGAAGCAGAGCTCAATAAATTATGTATGAATTGAAAATTATTTTTAAGACTAGAGTCTACTGATTACTTTCCTAGAACCAGGTCAGAATTAGGTGAGACAAATTACTTGCATTACTTTGAGGCAGGTGGTTGTCTATTTCTTCTGAAAAGTCAGTCTGAGTTGCAGAAGTAATAGTGTGCCTTGGAGAGGCAGCAGCATTATTGTTATTTGTAGTATTAACTTGAACTTGGTTGATTTCTTTTATGACTTGTTCATAAGATGGTGGGAGCTACAAAATAAAGAATGAAAATGTTAGACATCTATGGTTGACAGCCAACATGTTAACAGTCTCACTGTTCTAATCTTTGAATTTCATTTTAAAAATAAAATGCAAAGAGATAACAGGGTGCTTATTCACCTCAGCAGGACCCAGCTCAGTGGGCCTCCAAGGGCCTGCGGCAGGGGGTGGGGGAAATGCCAATCCTGGGGCTGGGGCTCCTGGAAACCACGAGGCTGGCCTCAGTGGCTCAGCGGCCACAATGGTGATCTCCGGGCGCCTAGCAGACAGAAGCCTCAGTGAGAGTTTGCAAGTTGGTAACAGGCTATTGTCCATTTGCAAATGTTCAAAACTTCATGAAAACAACTACCACCCAAACAAGTTACCTAAGAACTACCGCAGTCACAGAAATGACCTGTACAGTCTCTAACAGTACACCCAGGCAGGCTTCAAGGGATCAAATGGCAGCCGTCCTCTATGAGTTTGGGCACAAAAAGTTAGAGATGTACCCTAAGCACACTTAGCTCTGCCTTGGTTGATAAGAATATGGACTAGGTAAGGTCCATACAAGCTCTTCATTCCAGGGCTCTGCTATCTAGCCTATAGACAAACATAAATATACCATAAGTAGAAAAGTGCATGGGTCAAATAGAATTGTTTAGTTTTCTGTTATTATAAAGTATAAACTAAAAAATGATACCATATAAATAGAATACCTTCTTCCTCCTCACTCCACCTCTGTCCAAATTCCAAGTTATCTTTAGGTATTTAGAGTTCACATGTTCATTTCTAGACCCTGGTGTGTGTGTCCGTGTTCCTTGTCAGTTTTGTACACGAATTTGATGATTATTCTTTAACACTGAGGAGCCATAGTAATTTAGGCATGGCTTCTTTCATAATTTTCTTAACCTGATTATACAGTTTCATGTTTAAATCTTACCTTCAACCTGACTTCCTAACAAATACCAACTGAACTGATCAATCACCTCTCTGAGCCTCAAGTTTCCGTTCTAACAAATAATGATGAGGATACCTGCTCTTCCTTTTTCTAGCACTCTATGCCAAATAAAAACAAAACCAAAAAGCACTATCATTATCAAAACTGTGTATAGCCCGGCTGGTGGTTGAGCATCAACCTATGAACCGGGAGGTAACAGTTCAACTCCTGGTCAGGGCACATGCCCGGATTGCGGGCTCATTCCGTAGTGTGGGATGTGCAGGAGGCAGCCGATCAATGACTCTCTCTCATCACTGGCGTTTCTCTCTTTCTCCCTCTCTGAAATCAATAAAAATATTAATAAAATAAACACCCTCCCTCCCCGCAACCCCATGTATAGACACACTCTCATGCTAGCTTGTGAAACGGTGGAACCTACTTATAAATTACATTTGAATGGCAGTACCTAAGAACCTCTGCTTATAGCTTTTAACTAAATAATGAGTTAATAATTAATAAATTTTAACCACTCTACACGCATTAATCCGTGTAACAACCTTATGAGGGAGGTCTGGTTTGTACCGCTTTAATGATGGGGATATTGAAGCGAAGAAAGGTTACATAGCTTGCCAAGGTCACATGGTGAGAAAGTAAAGTCATGATTTGAACTTGCATAATGCCTCACTCTAAAGTCCTTGTTCTTCATTCCCAGGTACCATACCCTAAGAAATTTGAAAGCATGGAAGCTGTTTTATAAAAATCTATCCATTTATCCACCTGCTAATCTTTCCATCCATTCAGCCCTCTATCTGTCTATTTGTCCGTCTTTTTGTGTATTCAGTGACCTTCTTCCCTTTCTCCAGCCAACCATCTAGCCACTTATGCATTCAGCTATCAATCCAGCCTGCCTGCCTGCCTCTTTTCCTTTCTTTATCCTTCCACTCAATTTCCTATCCTGTCATTCATCATTTATCTATGCGACATGTACTAAGTAGCTATGAGGTACAAAGCACTCCTTTGAAGCAGTTCCGATAATGCTTTATATATAGTAGCTGCTTAATAAACATTTTCAAATTGATGTCAGTAAATAATTAGTCTCAAAAGAACACTTTTAGGCTTGTATTCCTTCTCCTCTCAAGCAAAGTCTCTATCATTCAAGCTTATAGATTAATTCAGGAAATGTATTGATGAGGCAGAATGTTGTAATACACTGCTTATGAAAGAGAAATATTTAATGTGCTAACTGATAAAATTTTTATTTCATTATGAGCAGAATATATGCCCTCTATTATAAATATAACCATACCTCCTATCTCGATGAAGCTCACTCTGTATAGAAGTCCGAGAAGCTATAAAAGAAAGAATACATTGATGTAGTACAAAATTAGTATATTCAATAAAGGTTTAAATTTTTATAGGGTATATTATTGAAAAAATAGCTTATACTTGATATCATATAGAATTATGGATTTTTTGAAGGATTAAAAATAACTTTCATTTATTTTTTGCAAATCTTTTAATCACATCTTATATTTCTTTTATAATTAGAAATAAATTATAGTTATTAAAAACCAGTACCTAATGATATATTTCTATATACTGAATTATAGATACAGATATAGAGACATAGGATAGTGCCGTAAAGAGAATGTTTTGATAAGGATAGAAGAAAGAAAGAAAGAAAGAAAGAAAGAAAGAAAGAAAGAAAGGGAGGAAGAAAGAATTAAAGGTATTTTATACCTGAATTAGGTTTAGAGGGAATGATATCTGAGAGGAACATGGAGAAATAGCAGAATATATGTATTTTAACAACCACAGTAGAAAAGCAAATCAAAATGATCTTTTCATATGGTATCAAGTTAAGTATAGCACATATTTGAATTCATAAGATAGCATAGATTTCAAAAACCCTCCAAAGCACATTCTAGAGTTCTGAAAATAAGTTAATGAATGAACAGAGGGGAAAAAAGATAGCTATAAATAGAAATTGCATGACAAGAGCATTATAATTACATGAAGTAACAATGGGCAGACAACTTTGTTACATGTCTATTCTGATCTATGACTATACTTTTATAGTTTTTTTTAATAACTATTGTAAAGAGAATAAAGGTGGTTAAATTTTCATCAATTTTCTAACTTTTCTGGAGTTTTATAGTCTTTGTTTTAGTACCTAAATTAAAAAATAATGAATACAAGAACTGTCCAAATCACTTTTATAAACATATTTATTATAGCATATATTATTATATATGCAGCACTAACTTTTCCCTCAAGCCTCAATCTCAAAAAGCTAGATCATTTAAAAATTTTCCAAATTTTATTTTAAAATTAAATTAGGTCTTAATCAGATGATCTGGACAATATGTCACATATAGGGTCACATGGTACACATATGTGCAATTCAGAATTATATCCCTATTTTCAAAGAGCACATTCTAAAGATATCTTTTTTTAAAAATCTTCCTACACTACCAGGTATATCAAAATGATTTGTGCATAAACAGGAATTTGTTTCAGATATTAACTATTTCTGCTAGTTGCCCTCCTATCTCTCCAATACGCTGATTTTTTTAATTCTTCTGATTTGTAAAGGTTGAAGGTATGAATCTTAGCTTTTTTCCTCTTATTAACTTCTGGTTCTCTCTGAGCAAGGAGACTGACAAAGCTGGGAAGACAGGGATAGAGGTGGCTGTGACAGCTGAATCTATTCTGGGCTGGCAAAGCAAACCCAACATTAGAAACCAAAACTCTTGGATATCAAGTTGGAGGGTGTCTTGTATTCATATCATCAACTGGTTTGACTTCAATTTTTATCAAAAGTTGAACCAAGCTGAGGTGCATTTTGTCTACTGCAATGAAAGGACAGAGAGGCTAGAGCTCTGAGTGGTGGGTCTGATTGGTAAGGCTGGTTTCATTAAGTAAGTGGCTCATTAAGTGTGCTACAATCACATCACCATCACCACTAAAGCCAGAAACAGCAGGCACAGCACTTGTACATCACATCATATTATTCGTCACAAACATACCTCTTCCACGGGGCATTTTTGCTGTGCACTATTCATGAGTGCTAAGGGAAAAAAAGAAGGGGTTATAGAAGAAGAAAGGGAGGAAAAAGAGTGAACCCAGTTGCTTATGCTCTAAAAGGAATTTGAGAGCAAGTCTGTCTCACCATGCCACTCTGCATACTTCTACAGAAAGGAAAAGTTGATGAACCATAGTTTCAGGGAGTAAAGAAGTGTGCTGTGGCAAAGACATGTCTGTACAGACCAGACATCCACACTCATAACCACAGTAAAAAAAATAAAGTAAAAAATCTACCTATAGTTTTTAACAACAGTGCAAAAAATATCCCTAAAAACCATTCTGAAAAATCAATTTGCGACTTCAATAGGAATCAATATTAAAGTATACATAATACTTAAAAGGAAATTCAGTATTCAATTTACATCATTTTAAATCAGTTGCTTGTTACTTGATTCAGCCCTTGCACACCACAGGCCATTAGTAAGAGGCCCCCCCTCTGGTTAGCAGAGTGGCATTCCCACTCTGTAAATAGCCAAATGAGGGCGAGGTCTCCCAAACATAACTCACAGATCTCTGCATCCTTTCAGAAGCACTGCCTTCTCCTTTCCTGCTCCGATTTTTTTCACATTCACTCATTTGTGAAATTTCTTTTCTCTCTTGATCCCCATAGAATGACTGGCTCTTTTTGTCAGTATTGAACAAGTTTAGCAGCTAGAAACACTTTAGATGTTCATGGCAGGTTTTCGTGTAGTATTTCACACTCTTCCGGCAAATTTCTTAACCACCCACTTAATCCGTTCTCACTTTCCCAGATTAAACAGATTTGATGTAGTTGTTGCCAGGAAAACTGAGTTTGCCACCAAAGCCCATAGAGACAGGGCTCTTAACCCCTACCACAAACTGCTGCTAGTCTCTTGTACATTTTGGATTAAACCACAGTATAAAGGCAGTATGTTCAATTAAAGCTGTTGTATCATTTTGAAACTTTTCTAACTCATATAGTTAAATTCTAAGCACAAAACAAGTTAATATTCAGCTGTTCATAAAATACTGAGAACTGGATTTGCGATATTAGTACTAATAAAGACTCTGCCTATGCTCCATCAGGATCATAAGCATGAAAGGATCCTCAGTGATCATCCTACCCCAACCTTACAGATGAGGAGACTGAGACACGGAGAGGTTAAATAGATTATCCCAGGGCCTACAGCCCATTACAGGAAGGGCTGGGGGCAGTTTGTTCCCTGAAGCTGTTTAACTCCTTGTGGAGCCAGGAGAGCTGGATGCTTCTCCTGATTCTCAATAATTCAAAAATATCGATAAAATGATGGTCAGAAGAAATAAACACACAGAAGGATCATCTATATATATAAAAGCCTAAGCGACCATCCGACCAGTAGCTATGATGCGCAATGACCACCAGGGGGCAGATGCTCAACACAGGAGCTGCCAAGCAACAGCAACTTTGCAGAGTGCCCTCTCACACTCTGGGACCGCTCGGGAGATGTGGGACTGTTGGTTTCAGCCCGATCCCCACAAACCAGGCCAAGAGACCCCATCTGCTGGAAGGACCCCGCTCACTCAGCAGATGTCCTTCGAGCCCTGGCGCCACTCCAGGTGCATCCAGCCAGGGAAGGACCACGGGAGGTTGGCTCCAGGGCATGTCCAGCTCATCTCACCCAGTCCCGCCCCATGGGCCACCTTCTAATTAATTTCCTTTCAATGAGCATGGACCCATGCACTGGGCCTCTAGTTATATTATAAGCTTCCTTGCTATAATCCTTACCAATGAAAATCACAATAATAAAAAATAACTAACTACATTTGCTTGAGACAGGGTATGAACTAGATGCCTATGACATGGTAACAAGAACATCCATGCAATGGAAAAGCTCATGGCCTCAGAGTCTCAGGAAATCTAGGTTCACATCTAAGCTCTACCTTGTGGAGCCATTTAACCTCTCAGTGTCCCTACCATGTATAAAATGGGGTTAACACCTAGAATGTAGATCATTATTTTATAATGTATAAGAACAGTTCCTGACTTACAGTAGGCAATGAATATTAGCTATTTCTGAATTTCAGAGAATAATTTTTCTTTTAAAAAGTTAACGAAAGGGAAAGCATGAAATCCTAGATATATCCAGTTAGAATATTTTATGATCTTTACCAAATATATTTAGGAGTCATAAAAACAAATGAAAAAAGAAAGACCTAAAGGCTTGATTGAAACCATACTCATCATGAAAGAATTTAAAATACAACCAGCTAAGGAACATTGCCTTAAAAATGTGATAGTTTTTCTCCTTGGCAGGGTTAGATGATTATGTTTGGGATAATAAAGCAAACATTTCAATGGATTGAGTAAATAAAAAATTTCTTACAATTTTTTCTTATAGAATGGGCAAAAGGGTGCCATAATTATTCTTCATTCTGTATTTACATGGCATCATGTGAGAATCTGTTTGTCTTTTTATTTAACACTAGAGGCCCAGTGCACAAAAATTTGTGCACTCTGGGGGTGGTCCCTCAGCCCATCCTATGCCCTCTTGCAGTCTGAGACCCCTTGGAGGATTGACCACCTGCTGGCTTAGGCCCACTCCCGGGGGATCAGGCCCAAGCTGGCAGTCAGACATTCCTCTGGCAGCCCAGCAGCCCTCAGGGGATGTCCACTTGCCAGCGGGGAGCAGGCCTAAGCTACAGTCGGACATCCTTAGCACTGCTGAGGAGGCGGGAGAGGCTCCCACCACCACCGCTGTACTGGAAGCCGTCAGCCTGGCTTGTGGCTGAGCAGAGCTCCCCCTGTGGGAGTGCACTGATCTCCAGGGTGCAGCTCCTGCATTGACCATCTGCCCCTTGGTGGTCAGTGTGTGTCATAGTGACCAGTCATTCCCAGTCATTCTGCTGTTAGGGTGAGTTTGCATATTACCCTTTTATTATATAGGATAGAGGCCTGGTGCATGGGTGGGGGTCAGCTGGTTTGCCCTGAAGGGTGTCCCGGATCAGGGTGGGGGTCCTGCTTGGGTGCCTGGCCAACCTGGGTGAGGGGCTGATGGCTGTTTTCAGCTGGTCACACCCCCTTCAAGGTGGGGGTCCCCACTGCGGTGGCCTGGCCAGTCTGGGTGAGGAGCTGAGGGCCATTTTCAGGCTAGGCAAGCCCCCCTGGTGATGGAAGCTCCCAGTGTCTCCTTTCTTTCTTTCTTTTTTTTTTATTCTGGGATTTATTTACCTTCTATAATTGAAACTTTGTTGCTTTGAGTGGAGCTCAGAGCCAGGGCCACGGCAGGCGGGAAGCTTGGCTTCCTCCATCATTGGGGCCACCAAGCCTCCTGCTTGCTCCAGCTCTGTGGCTGCTGGTCGCTATCTTGGTTGGGGTAATTTGCATATAGTTGCTCTGATTGGCTAGTGGGCGTGGCTTAAGGCATAGCGAAGGTACAGTCAATATGCATATTTGTCTTTTATTAGTGTAGATCAGCAATACATGCAACCAACAAATATTTCTTTAGCATATACTAACTAACACATAAGAATTAAAGCCAAATGTGTTAATTTTTAAAAAAAGGTTCTTCAAAGCAAGAGTTTTCCCATTGTTTCACTTCCTCCTTCCTTTCTGCCGGGGTTGCTTCACCAATTTCCTCTTCACTCTGGCTGCAGTTTGATCTCTCCCCGGATTCCTTCCCTGTTGCCTACAGAGGCCTCCAACTTCCTCTTCCTAAATAGTCTGTGAACATGTTCAAATATCCTCTCTGCTTGACCCTCATGCCTTCTCAAGCTACAACCCTTTCTTCTCCTATTTACCACCATATTTCATAGAAGACTAGCCTACCCCAGCTGTCCCAGCTTCTACATATTCCATTCATCATTCAAATCAAAGTGTGGCTTCCAACTTCAATCATCTATTTAAACTGCTCTCTCAAAGGTCACCACTGACCTCCTGAGTGCCACATATAATGACCTATTATCAGCCACCTTGTGCCTGACCTTCCTGCAGCATTAAGAGATATTTGTGGTCCACTCATTCTTTTCGAACCTCACTTCCTTTGACCTCTAATACACAGCCTTCTCGTAGTCGCCCTCCCTCCCTCCCTCCTTCCCTCCCTTCCTCCCTTCCTTTCTTTTTTTGTTAATCTTCATCTTAGGATATTTTACCATTGATTTTTAGAGAGAGTGAAAAAGAGGGGAAGAGACACAGAGAGAGAAACATTAATGTGAGACAGACACATCTCACATTGATTGGATGCCTCCAGCACGCGACTAGGCCAGGGATTGAGCCTGGAACCAAAGCATGTGCCTTTGACCAGAAACGAAACCTTCAGTCCGTGGGCCAACACTCTATCCACTGAGCCAAACTGGCTAGGCTCTCCTAGTTTTTCTATTATCCTGACCACTCTTTTCAGCCTCGTTTTGCCCATTCCTTATTAAGTACCTTCTCCTCACGCCCTGCATGGCACACAGCCTCAGGGTAAGCAAGATCCATCCTGAAGGATCAATGGGAAGTCAGGTACAGATTACAATCGCCAACAAAGAAGTCCTGAAACCCAAGAGAGAGAAAAGTAAAAAGCCAGAGGACAAAGGCAGGGGCCAGAGGACAGGACTCAGTGAAAGGAGGCCTCTCCTCAGCAGGACTGGGTTTTTGGGTCATGCATCTTTGCCCTACAGCACCTTTAAAGCACAGCTTAGTCCCAAATATCATGCTTCCTAAGATTCTGTCCTCTGTCATCTGCTGCATCCTTTACACGTTATAAATGGTTAGCTATTGCCAGGATTTTGCCTATAACCTTGATTACCCCAAAATTGTATCTCCAGGAAGAAATTTTTTTTATTTAAATTTTTTATTGTTTAAAGTATTACATAAGTCTCCTTTCCCCACCATTGACCTCTCCTCAGCCACCCCCACCCCCACCCCCTGCAGGAAGAAATTCTTGCCTAAATTCCAGACCTATTTAAATGATCTTTCTCCCCTTTTCTCTCCCCATGGGCTCTAAGGCATGTAAAGCTGTCATGAATTTTTTATTTTCATATTTGAACTCCCTTCAACATAAACTGTGGCAGCCCCACATTTTTATAATTCACCACGAACAATAAAAATGAAATGTGTAGCAACATGGAGAACTGTGGAATTTCTTTCTGTATTGCCACCTTACAAACTATTCACTGCAATGAGTTCAAATGCATATTCTTCACAACCTGTGGATATCCTAAATTCATACTGAATACTACAAATGATGTTTCTAAAAATAGTATACATTTTCCTTAGAGTGCTGATCTCAGCTCAAATAATGTGAAGAACATCTAAAATCCTTATCTTATCTCTTTTTATAATGAGTAAGCCATGTTCTATTTGGAAAAGGGAGCTTTGCTCAGCCTTTATTAAAAAGAATGTTAAGCCTGCCTGGCTTGGCTCAGTGGTTGAGCGTCAACCTATGAACCAGGAGGTCAGGTTCAATTCCCGGTCAGGGCACATGTCCGGGTTGTGGGCTGGATCCCCAGTGTGGGGTGTGCAGGAGGCAGCCGATCAATGATTCTCTTTCATCATTCATATTTCTATCTCTCTTTCCTTCTCCCTTCTTCTCTGAAATCAATAAAAATCTATCTTAAAAAATAATGTTAAAATCCTACATACCAAGAGCATGTTTCAACGCTTTAACCAAGAGGTAAAGTTAGTAAGTATGACTCTACCATTCTGGAGAAATTCCATTAAGTCACTTCTACCTGTATGTGGAAGTATGAGCCAATCTCCATAGACATTTTTACAGATAAATAAAAATAGTGTGAAAGCAAATAAAAAAGGACAGGGCTTGTTTGGTATTTTTCAAACCCATCAGATGTCTCTACCTTTAGAAAATGGTTATATAAAATTTATATTAGATCATAGAAACTAGGTAGATAATCCAGATTATTTTTAACAGCTTAGTTCTATAAGGGAAAAATGTTCTGAGGAACTGGCTTATCAATGAATAAAAGTTGAAAAGAAAGTTGAAAAACTAGCTGCATGTCTGAAATGGATTATTACTCCTTAGGACAGTGATGGCAAACCTTTTGAGCTCGGCGTGTAGGCATTTTGAAAAACCCTAACTTAACTCTGGTGCCGTGTCACATATAGAAATTTTTTGATATTTGCAACCATAGTAAAACAAAGACTTATATTTTTGATATTTATTTTATATATTTAAATGTCATTTAACAAAGAAAAGTCAACCAAAAAAATGAGTTCGCTTGTCACCTATGACACGCATGTTATAGGTTCGCCATCACTGCCTTAGGAGAAGCTCTTCTGGTTGGATTCTTTGTAAGATTCATCAAACACAATCACTTGCTAGAAATCTAAACCATCATTTAAAATTATTAGAGAGGAAAATGTAGAGCAGGAGAAAACAAACTTACATCTCTTGATTACCGCTCGAATGGATGACAAGGGTCCTTGGCTAGAAAAAGAAAGAAAACTTATTACACATTCATTAATCCTTTTGAAGAAGAATCATTGATCGTGCCAGGCCATTTCTGGACTCAATATGGCGCCAAGTAGCAAGTTTGATACATTAATTACTGGTCTATTCTTTTTACAAAACACAAATTAAAAAAAACATTTAAAAATTGCCTTTGATATTTAAAATGTTTTATGGGAGGCGAGGAGTCTGATGAAGTACATCTGCAGTATAAATAAAATTTTGCCTTGAAGTTGCTTTTATAGCTACCTACATACTGTTTTTTCCAGTGAACTTCTTTATTTTATTTTATTTTATTTTATTTTTTCCAGGGAACTTCTTGAAGTTAGGTGGCAATTACCTGGTGCTCAAAAATTTTTTTTAACCCTGCCCTCCATCTCTTCGTGTTTGACCTTGGAATTCTTATCTTCTCAGGTCAAAACAGATTATTTAAAGTCAATTTGACCTAAGCACCAATAGTATTTCACCCTAAGATTAGAATTAAAACATCACCACCTAAAAATAAAAGTCTGCTTTGATTTTTGTTCAATAGCTGGTTAGTCATGACTGCCTCTGACTGTGCAACCTTGGGCAGGTCACAGACCTCTTCCAAGCTTCTGTTTACTCATTTGTCAAAACCCTCTAGAACTGCAAAGGTTATGCTATTAGTTTTCCAGGTTGTTTAGCTGTATTCATACCAGGTGGACTAACTGTTTTTGAATCATTTAGAAAAATATGCAAACATGACAGTTTAATGCTATGATTTAGAAAAAAAAATTCTTATTTATGAAATTCCTCAGTTTTTTTCAGAATAGTCTTTTAAAATTTATACTTATTTTTGAATTTATACTCTTTTAAAATTTCCACTTGTGTAACCTGTATAAATACGCTTGCTATATCTTAGATAACTACAATAGGAAGACACAATAATATACCAGTCCATTTTATGGAAGAGATACTTTAAAAATATACTATTCTGCCACACAAGAAAAAAAGAAAAGTTCTATAATACCACAAAGCTAGGACAATAATATAAAAACGTGTTTTCAGTAATACTGATTTTTAAAAAATGTCTTGAAAGCTTTCTGTAAACAATTACTTGGAAAAAAAAAAAAACCAGTATAAGGTAATATATAAAAGAGGTAATAGCACTAAAACCCAAATAGGTCAACTGAAGGCTTTAGGAAAAACTTCTTGGTATAAAACTGGAGTGAATTTGTATGTTAATATTGTGTCTATTGACTTAGGCACAGTAATTAAAAGAATCAAAATCAGTATTTAGAAGCAAGGGGAAAAAAGCCACAGTACCATCTGTGCACAGGCAAGACATAGGGATGCTATTGAATATCTACATCATACTCTCCTTGCTCATTAACACTTATTTGGTGTGATATTATTATTACTTAAAAATACCTTTGTTGCCTTTGTAAAGAAGAAAGGTGTACTGACTGAAGTAAAACATGGGGGTGGGGGGGGCGGTATTTGGGTCAAATTGCCCCTCCCCCCAAATATATGTTGAAGTCTTAACTCCCAGTACCTCAGAATGTGAACTTATTTGGAAATGGGATCATTACAAATGTAATTAGTTAAGATGAGGTTATACTGGAGTAGGTGGGCCCTAATCTAACATAACTGGTGTCCTTATAAGAAGGTCATGTGAAGACAGAGACACACAGGGAAAGTGCTGTGTGACAACAAAGGCAGTCTTGAGTGACACAGCTGTGAGCCAAGGAATGCCAGAGTGCTGACAAATCACCAGAAGGTAGGAGGAGGTGAGGAAGGATTCAACTATGGATTTCAGAGGAAGCATAGCCCTGCCAACATCTTGATTTCAGACTTCCAGCTTCCAGAACTGAGAGACAATAAATTTCTGTTATTTTAAGTCACTCAGTTTGTGGCACTTTATTACAGCAGCCCTAAGAAACTAACACAGGGGGAGAGGTCTTCTGAGGTGCTGAGTAGATGTGATAATCAATTGAGCTGCACACTTTGTGCAATTTTCTGTATGTTATACTTCAATAAAAAGTTGGGGGTGGGGAGGGAATCTTGGCCCCAAATAGAATTTTGACTGAGTTCAGTCCAAGTTCTACACTCCTCAAGATTTGCAGTGTCATATTTAGACTAGATCTATAAACCAACCAATGAACCAACTGACCAATGAACCAACTGACCACCCAAACAACCAGTATTTTATGTCTAAAATGGCATTTCCCAAACTCTAAAACAGGGGTCCTCAAACTTTTTAAACAGGGGGCCAGTTCACTGTCCCTCAGACCATTGGAGGGCCAGACTATAGTTTTAAAAAAATCTATGAACAAATTCCTATGCACACTGCACATATCTTATTTTTTATCCTCTTAATAGTAATATTTCTCTTTGTTAGGCTCTGGCTCCAATGTTAATGATTTGACATCACTCAAAGTTTGGCTTCATTTAACAGAAATGCTATAGCTAAACAAATTGGGATGAACTAAATTCTAATTTGGATGATTTCTTTTATTAGGCATTATACCCCTATCCTTGAAAGAACAGTACCCTCAGTGAGAATTCTAGCTGCAGAATTGATGATAATGGCAATTTAATTCTCTAAAAAGCACTAAACCTGAACAAAATTGACTGACGAGGAAGAGAAGTAGGAGAGAAAACCAGTGCTCTGTAACCCAATCAAAGGGATACAACACTCTGAGAAACATACTTGAAAAGCTGATGAAATTCAGGTAACAACAGTGAAAAATCTGTTGCATTCTTGTTTGGGACACAAAGTATAACAGTAAGAACTATGGAGTGGCCAAGAACTGCCCTGAAGCATTAAATATAGAGATAAGTCAGACATGGTTCCAGCCACTGGGGAACTTACAGTCTACAACAGGGGTCCTCAAACTTTTTAAACAGGGGGCCAATTCACTGTCCCTCAGACCATTGGAGGGCCAGACTATAGTTTTAAAAAAATCTATGAACAAATTCCTATGCACACTGCACATATCTTATTTTGAAGTAAAAAAACAAAACGGGAACAAATATAATATTTGTATTTGCATGTGGCCCGCGGGCCGTAGTTTGAGGACCCCTGCTCTAAAAGTTTAAAGTTCTCCTTTAGAGGTTAATGGGTTTTCTGAGAGGAACTAATGAAAAAGAAGGCCTGTGGTCAAGTACATTTCCATGAGAAGTAGTTTTGGGAGATGCTGGCTGTGCAGTGCATACCATTTCTGTATCTCAAATGCAAAAACTGAGGTTTAAAGATGTTCTGCAGAGCAAGGACTAGAGGTGAAGTTACCACTCTATTGTCTGAGAAAACCTCATGGGAGTCCTCCCCTCAGCATAAACTCAGGCTCATGTCTTAGCTGAAAACCTCCACCGAGGGCCACCCTGGAGGTAGACATGGCCCCATGACCACTGATCAAAGGAGGGACAGCAGAGCCTGCTGGTTCAGAGAGCTAATTCTGGAATCCAACTATCCATATTCCCTTCTGGTGCCTCCACTTGATGGCTAGTGTGACTTTGTGCAAATTACTTAGTTTCTCTAAGGCATCTTGTTTCCTCATGTGTAAAAGCATGAGGTTGTTATAAAGAGTAAGAGGGAGAGTCCATTAACGCATTTTACACAGTGCCTGGAACAAAGTGTGTGTTCAATAAACGTGAGACACAATTATCATTTGTTTATAATCTTTAGGGGCAACACAAAACATCTGACAATACTTACAAACCTTGGCAGGTTCCCCCTTAGGGGTCTGATATCATGCAGATAGTAGGCCTAAGAGTTCACTGTATTTTTCTATATATAAGATGCCCCCCACACTTTTCCAACCCCAAATTAAGAAATCAATATTTTAAACATTTTGCTGATTTCCCTCTTAAGGCCTTATTCATTTTTGGCACCTTAAGGAGTTGTGCTTCCTGTTTTCTCTACTGTCTGATTATACACTCAGTGGGAGGAGGTCCAAATTGTCTCTGCAGCTTTATTTCCATGCTCTTTTGCATAGCTGATTACATTCAGTTTGAATTTTGCAGAATAAGACAATCGCTTACCAGTATTTATCTTTTTATTTTTTGACATCTTTATGGGCTCAGAACACTCCAGTCCCTGTTGCATCTGCACACTCTCCACCTCCACCTCCAATTAAGGCATCAGCTGACATCAGTAACAATAAGGCTCGTGATTGGAGGAAGCCTCTTTGACAAGGTATGGGCAGCTATGCATCCGTGGGACTCCCTCCTTGACTTCCATGTATAAGATGCCCCTCAATTTTCAGTCTAATGATTTTAGAAAATAATAGTCATATACACAGAAAAATACAGCATGTTTTTTAAAGATTTTTTTTTCCTTTTCCCTGGTGGGGTAGCTTACTTAGTTGGAACATCATCCCATGCACCAAAAGGTTGTGGGTTTGATCCCGTCAGGGTGCATACGGGAGGCAACCACATGGGTTTGGTTCCCAGTCAGGGCACTTACCTAGGTTGCAAGTTTGATCCCCGGTTGGGGAGTGTATAGGATGCAGCTGATCGATGTTTCTCTCTCTCTCTCTCTTTTTCTCTCTCTCTCTCCCTCTCCCCTTCCTATCTCTCTAAAAACAATAAAAACATATCCTTGGGTGAGGATTAAAAAAATAATTTTGTTTTCTTTGAGATTGCTATCCTCTGGTTTCTGCTGTTCAGATGGAACCTGAGCCTAGGTCCCTTCATGATAAAACAAAGGACTGCAAGACTGCATCTTCACTCCATCTAAATTTATAAGCCTATGTCCTGGCCATTGGCAGAGTTAATCCAAATCTTTTGCCTTTGGTTCTTAAAATATATAGATATAGATATATAGATATATAGATATAGAGATGTATATATATATTTTGCCCTAGCCGGTTTGGCTCAGTGGCTGAGCATTGGCCTGTGGACGAAAGGGACCTTTTTAAAAATTCAGACATATTTGACATACAATATTATGTTAGTTTCAGGTGTACAGTCCCGTGATTAGACATTTATATAACTTATGAAGTAATTACCCTGAT